AGACAGATGGACAGACAGAGAGACAGATGGACAGACAGAGAGACAGACAGACAGACGGACGGACGGACAGACAGAGAGACAGTCAGACAGACAGACAGACAGACACAGACAGACAGACAGACAGACAGACGGATGGACAGACAGACAGACAGACGGTTGTGAGACGTGCAGCACTGTGTTCATGTTGAGCTCAGATGTGTTGGAATGACTGTAATTATGAGCTCCCAACTTGTACAAACTAGACTCACTGCTAAAAATCACAGGCCTGGGATAAAACTCCTGAAAAACAACATTCATCTTTGCAGAAAGTCGTAATTACAGGTTGGAAACGACATGAAAAAAGCTCCTTTACTAGATCATCGGATCAAAACCACCAGAAAGGCTTGAGATGGACACACTTTCTGTCTCTGTGCTGGAGATGAGCTGAGGTCTACACAAACTCCAGCATGAGCACATTTTACAGCATTTATTCATCCCTGTTAATGCTATTAAATACAAATGCAACTACTGTGCAATATATTTTTACATCATTTATTAATCTCTGTTGTTATTTAATAAAAATGCAATTGTTTAATATATTTTATACCATTTATTAATCTTTATTAATGCTATTTAATCAAATTCAATTGTTCATTTTTTTGTTTGTTAGTTCACAGTTCATTAACTAATGTTAACAAATACAACTTTTAAAAGTGATTCACAAAGTAAATGTTGAAATTAACATTAAGATTAGTGCTGTAGAAGTATTGTTCATTATCAGTTCATATATAGCTACAGAATGAGACCTTAGTGTGAAGTGCTACTGAAAACAAACAGCATTTAATTATTCCTTAACTAATGGCTATTAAATGCGACACTGGTTAAAATGTATTTCCTCTCGCACTGATTTTTTCCCACTACGTATTATCTGGAACAGAAAGCGCTTCTCTGTTCTCAAAGGTTTAATAAGGTTCCCAGCATGACGCAGCACTGGCCCAGAATGCCGATCTCAGGACTTTGAGGAGAGCAGAGCTCAAACTCAACTTTAACATGTTCAGCTCATCCCTATCAGCACTAGCACTAGTCAGGACTGACTCAGTAAACAGCACTAGTGAGTGTGGGTAATCTGTGTTCTTCACAGGCGTGATCTCACCGAAGGAGACACGTCCTCGTCGTACTTCTTGAGCTGGTTCATGAACTCCAGGTGCTTCTTCTCCTCCTCCAGCTGTGCCACGCTCTGCTCGCTCTTCTGCAGCTTCTGCTGTGTGTTTGCCAGCTCGTCTCGCAGCCACTGGTTCTCCTGACAGAGACGCCTCACCTGAGCTCGCAGCTTCTGCTTCTCCGACTCCACCGCGTTCAGATGATTTGACAGAGCCATCATCACCTGCACACACACACACACACACACACACACACGGTCACATGCTCACTCGTCTGGGAGGAACTCTAGTCAAACACTTTGACACACATCCGTTCCATCTCTGGAGTCAACATGAATCAACATTTACTGACTTTCACAATCTGACGTTTTTGAGATAGAGAGTGAAAATAGTGTGTAATCAGCAGCTGTGGTTCCCATAAGGATTTATAAAGAGTCTTCGCTAAAGCATTATAAGCCATGAAACAAACCAACCAGCGACGAGGAGAATCACAACATTACAAACTTTCATTTGAACCAAAAAAGTATTTGAAAATCAGACAAAGAGACGAGACCATAACGGCTTTAAAGAACTACAATCCCATGAGGCTTTGCAAATTACATAATCTGAAAAAAAAGTATGGAAAAATTAAAAAATTTTGTTTTAAAGACGTTGATTAAATATAGATGTTTGTTGGTTATATTTAAACGTATTGTCATATCAGCTTCAGAGTAGGGCTCGACCGATTATCGGTGCCGATATTAAGCTTTTTTATGGTTATTTTCAAAACCGATATGCCGATAAAATAGTAAAGAACGTTTTTGTCAAAGCCCTTGTTATATTCTTAATTTTGACTTTAATTTTCATTTTTACACCAGACATATATATCGGTTCAAAATACTGGTTATCGGTCTCTTGATCTGTAATAATCGCATCGGCCCTGAAAAACACATATCAGTCGACCCCTACTTCAGAGTAGAGCTGTAATATTGATTAATCGTGATTAATTGCTTCCTAAATAAAAATGTGTTTACATGATATATGTGTATATGTATATATAACTATCACATTTATATGATTTATATTATATATAAATATATATTAAACATACACAGTACACACACATAAAATACGTACTTTAATTTCGGAAACGATTAATCGGTTTTACAGACCTACTTCAGAGTCATTCAACAAACAATATCACAAAAACAAACCTTTTATAAAACTCCACTTAGAAAAAAAAGGCTAAACAATTTCATATATACAACTTTAAATTATTCTTTAAAAAAATTATTTAAATGTATTTGTGATAAAGTCCTTTGTGATAAAAATTGGGGAGAGAAAACATGTTTGAGTGCTACAATACTGACCATTATATATAGAAACAATGTATTTTATTACAAAATATGCATATTATGCATACAAATATTTAAGTATTTTGAGAGCGATACGTCAGTCGCAGTGCATTATGGGAGTGGGCGGAGCTGAAGAGTTTCGATTCTCTGATTGGTGGAGATTTCTCTGCAGAATCATGGGTAATGTAGTTTTCCACTAGAAAATCTGCTGTTGAATGTGATTATCTAAAAATAAGTTGAAATAATGCGCACTGATGGCTTCAACAATAGGATTAACTACCTCGTGTCTCACAGTAGGTCTGTTTTTAACGGCTTATAAGTTATCATTAAAGAAAACGAACAGGGTTTTTACTTCCGGAACCGACTGTTGTGCTCTACTGAGAAAAAAGTGGGAGGGGCTACTGCTGCATTTGCTAGGAAACGACTGGATCATTAATGAGAACCACAACTGGACTGATGGAGCGCGATGTTATGTTCTGATGAAAGACTATAAAGAGAAACAGCACTGAGAAGCATGAGTTCTGAGTACAGCGTGACCCGGCGTCTCACCTGAGCCTCGCCCAGCCCCAGCTCGATCATCTCCACAGATCTCCTGAGCAGGCTGGACTTCTCGTGCACCACGCTGGCCTCCTCGTCCTTCTTCAGACACTTGATGGTCTCCCGCAGGCTGTGCAGGATGGAGTTGTGCTCGTTCTTCAGCGCCTCCAGACCCTGGATCACCAGCTTGGTGTTGGAGATGATCTCCTCCTGCGACAGCTTCTCCAGCTTCTCATCACGAGGGGACAGCATCATGGACATGATCTCACAGAGGCCTGAGAACAGGAGAAGGTTCGAGGAGATCAGGTGAGCTGCGAATCGAACACATCAGAAGTAATCTGGCTAGATAAACCAGTATTTTCATGGGAAAGCAGATAGAGCCGTTACTGCGACACGCTGAGACAGATGTGGTTCAGATTCATCCAAACAAACAAACACACACACACACACACACAAACGAAATAAACACACACAGTTTCCCTGTCAATGAGGGCAGCAGGTTCATTAGGCTGCAGTCACTTAAAGCCTCTTTATTCCACCGCTGCATCACGCTGCTCATCCCCGTCTGTGACACACGTGCAGCTCGTGTGTGAAGGGCGTGACCATGATGATGATGATGATGATGATGATGACGTCAGACGACAGCTGAAGAGCCAGAGCAACAACTCATCACACACATGTGCTTCATCTCGTCACTGGACGACAGCGCATGAGGAGCTTCTGACGGACGTCTGACCCAACATTACACCACAAACAACGCATTCAGTCACTGATATTGAAGGGTTAGTTCACACAAAAATGTCAATTCTGTCATTAATTACTCGCCCTCAGGTCAGGTCAGAAAGCTCGCATTTCATCAAAAATATCTTCATTTGTGTTCTGAAGATGAACGAAGCTCTTACAGGTTTGGAACGACATGAGGGTGAATTAATGACAGAATTTTCATTTTTGGGAGAACTAACCCTTTAACAGCTTACAGCAGGGCTTCCCAAACTGGGCTTTACCAGCTGAACAAAAGCTTATAATTAATCAAATTATTCATTATTATTCATTACTGTAAAATTATAACAAATAAAGACTTTTTAAATAAAAGCAATAAAAAACACTTAATAAAAATTAAAAAAAAATTAAAAAAAATTTAAAAATGATTTAAAAATAAAACCAAATCAAAATAAAACTAAAAAATGTACTACAAAATATGATTTTTTTATTTTGTGTGTGTATAAATAAAAAGTGATTTATTTAGATTTTTTATTTAGATCAACACGTCCGGAAATGTGCAGTTAAAGCTGATTGAGACTATAAACGCACACAGCTCTGTAATGAGAGGACGTTATATTCGGCGCTCTGAATCACCTACATTCAAGATAATGAGTTTCAAACTGGGACGACGTGGGAGTTTCTTCTGGTTTATAATGAAGGCTGCTGAAAACACGATTCTCGAGCTCCTGACTTTGATCAATAACATCCAGCTCTGTCTCTGAGACACTGCTGAACAAGTCACGGCTTGCATCTGGAACATTCACCTCGAATCACACAGCAGAAAACACGGACAAACTCACTCAGATCCTCAGAAACACATCTTAAGCTCATAGATCACCTTACATTTGCTCTAATGACACCTGCAGTGACATGAGATTCATAACAGTGAAAGATTACAGTAGCAGAGACTGTGAGGAACACACACTCACACACACACACTCACTCACTCACGCACACACACACACACACACACTCACTCACTCTCACACAGAAACACACTCACTCACTCACTCACTCACTCACTCACTCACTCACTCACTCACTCACTCACTCACTCACTCACTCACTCACTCACTCACTCACTCACTCACTCACTCACTCACTCACTCACTCACTCACTCACTCACTCACTCACTCACTCACTCACTCACTCACTCACTCACTCACTCACTCACTCACTCACTCACTCACTCACTCACTCACTCACTCACTCACTCACTCACTCACTCACTCACTCACTCACTCACTCACTCACTCACTCACTCACTCACTCACTCACTCACTCACTCACTCACTCACTCACTCACTCACTCACTCACTCACTCACTCACTCACTCACTCACTCACTCACTCACTCACTCACTCACTCACTCACTCACTCACTCACTCACTCACTCACTCACTCACTCACTCACTCACTCACTCACTCACTCACTCACTCACTCACTCACTCACTCACTCACTCACTCACTCACTCACTCACTCACTCACTCACTCACTCACTCACTCACTCACTCACTCACTCACTCACTCACTCACTCACTCACTCACTCACTCACTCACTCACTCACTCACTCACTCACTCACTCACTCACTCACTCACTCACTCACTCACTCACTCACTCACTCACTCACTCACTCACTCACTCACTCACTCACTCACTCACTCACTCACTCACTCACTCACTCACTCACTCACTCACTCACTCACTCACTCACTCACTCACTCACTCACTCACTCACTCACTCACTCACTCACTCACTCACTCACTCACTCACTCACTCACTCACTCACTCACTCACTCACTCACTCACTCACTCACTCACTCACTCACTCACTCACTCACTCACTCACTCACTCACTCACTCACTCACTCACTCACTCACTCACTCACTCACTCACTCACTCACTCACTCACTCACTCACTCACTCACTCACTCACTCACTCACTCACTCACTCACTCACTCACTCACTCACTCACTCACTCACTCACTCACTCACTCACTCACTCACTCACTCACTCACTCACTCACTCACTCACTCACTCACTCACTCACTCACTCACTCACTCACTCACTCACTCACTCACTCACTCACTCACTCACTCACTCACTCACTCACTCACTCACTCACTCACTCACTCACTCACTCACTCACTCACTCACTCACTCACTCACTCACTCACTCACTCACTCACTCACTCACTCACTCACTCACTCACTCACTCACTCACTCACTCACTCACTCACTCACTCACTCACTCACTCACTCACTCACTCACTCACTCACTCACTCACTCACTCACTCACTCACTCACTCACTCACTCACTCACTCACTCACTCACTCACTCACTCACTCACTCACTCACTCACTCACTCACTCACTCACTCACTCACTCACTCACTCACTCACTCACTCACTCACTCACTCACTCACTCACTCACTCACTCACTCACTCACTCACTCACTCACTCACTCACTCACTCACTCACTCACTCACTCACTCACTCACTCACTCACTCACTCACTCACTCACTCACTCACTCACTCACTCACTCACTCACTCACTCACTCACTCACTCACTCACTCACTCACTCACTCACTCACTCACTCACTCACTCACTCACTCACTCACTCACTCACTCACTCACTCACTCACTCACTCACTCACTCACTCACTCACTCACTCACTCACTCACTCACTCACTCACTCACTCACTCACTCACTCACTCACTCACTCACTCACTCACTCACTCACTCACTCACTCACTCACTCACTCACTCACTCACTCACTCACTCACTCACTCACTCACTCACTCACTCACTCACTCACTCACTCACTCACTCACTCACTCACTCACTCACTCACTCACTCACTCACTCACTCACTCACTCACTCACTCACTCACTCACTCACTCACTCACTCACTCACTCACTCACTCACTCACTCACTCACTCACTCACTCACTCACTCACTCACTCACTCACTCACTCACTCACTCACTCACTCACTCACTCACTCACTCACTCACTCACTCACTCACTCACTCACTCACTCACTCACTCACTCACTCACTCACTCACTCACTCACTCACTCACTCACTCACTCACTCACTCACTCACTCACTCACTCACTCACTCACTCACTCACTCACTCACTCACTCACTCACTCACTCACTCACTCACTCACTCACTCACTCACTCACTCACTCACTCACTCACTCACTCACTCACTCACTCACTCACTCACTCACTCACTCACTCACTCACTCACTCACTCACTCACTCACTCACTCACTCACTCACTCACTCACTCACTCACTCACTCACTCACTCACTCACTCACTCACTCACTCACTCACTCACTCACTCACTCACTCACTCACTCACTCACTCACTCACTCACTCACTCACTCACTCACTCACTCACTCACTCACTCACTCACTCACTCACTCACTCACTCACTCACTCACTCACTCACTCACTCACTCACTCACTCACTCACTCACTCACTCACTCACTCACTCACTCACTCACTCACTCACTCACTCACTCACTCACTCACTCACTCACTCACTCACTCACTCACTCACTCACTCACTCACTCACTCACTCACTCACTCACTCACTCACTCACTCACTCACTCACTCACTCACTCACTCACTCACTCACTCACTCACTCACTCACTCACTCACTCACTCACTCACTCACTCACTCACTCACTCACTCACTCACTCACTCACTCACTCACTCACTCACTCACTCACTCACTCACTCACTCACTCACTCACTCACTCACTCACTCACTCACTCACTCACTCACTCACTCACTCACTCACTCACTCACTCACTCACTCACTCACTCACTCACTCACTCACTCACTCACTCACTCACTCACTCACTCACTCACTCACTCACTCACTCACTCACTCACTCACTCACTCACTCACTCACTCACTCACTCACTCACTCACTCACTCACTCACTCACTCACTCACTCACTCACTCACTCACTCACTCACTCACTCACTCACTCACTCACTCACTCACTCACTCACTCACTCACTCACTCACTCACTCACTCACTCACTCACTCACTCACTCACTCACTCACTCACTCACTCACTCACTCACTCACTCACTCACTCACTCACTCACTCACTCACTCACTCACTCACTCACTCACTCACTCACTCACTCACTCACTCACTCACTCACTCACTCACTCACTCACTCACTCACTCACTCACTCACTCACACACACACACACACACACACACACACAGCGCTTCATCACTCTCAGACCGTCAAACGCGCTTTAACAACAAGCACGCCTCTGGAACTGAACACACACACACTCTGTAACACACACACACACACACACACACACACACACACACACACACACACACACACACACACACACACACACACACACACACACATGACGCGCTCTAGAAACTCGGATCTCGCACCTGGAATTGTCGCTTTTGTCAGGATTCGCTCGGCGCCCCTTTAATTCCAAGATGTCCACGGTGGATGTGACAGTGCGCATGCGCACACGCTCGGACGCGTCGGTAGAAATGACGTCACTCTCTAGGCGGTGGTTCTCTAATGGGCGTGGCTTTCATTCCTGACAAAAACAACACATTCCTCAGCAGCTGCACTGTTTCGTCTTTATTATTTGTTATTTTATATTATATATATTAAGTAATATTGTTTAAGCCTATTATTGTTGTTTTTTAATTGATAGTAATCATAAAATGTAAATGTAAACGACTATTTCACTGTCTTGTGTTGTGTATAGAAGCTTATTTCTGCCACTGAATAAAAGCAGTAAAAAGGCAATTCCGACTTTTTATCTCATTCTGATTTTTTTTCTCAGAATTGCGAGGGAAAATAAGTCAGAAATGTGAGATAATAAGTCACGATTACGTTTTTAAATTGTATTTATTTATGTTTCTGTGGCGGAAATACCTTTCTCAGCACTTTGGATAACGGTCTGGAAAGATTATCTTAAGGTTATGAATAAACATTATTCCAGTAGCGAAAACATAATTTATGCATCGCTCATAGAACGTCTTTTTCCTGGAACGTTTTAGCTGGACGTTCATGTAACGTGTTATAAACGTTACTGCTTGCATCAGAATGTTTAGAAAAAAATAAAAAAATTACAATGTTTGCACAATTATAAAATATAATGTTATCTTAACGTCCGAATAAACAAAAAAACGTTTTTAAAACCTGTAAAAATGTACGTTTTGAGCGTTAAGAGAACGTGCTCCTGCTCTTCTGTGATTGGCTGGTCACCAGCTGGCGGCAGTGTGACGTGTTCTGAACGCGACGTGGAGTCAGTCTGGAATAACAAACAAATCCAGCATTAAGACGCTTTTAACTAAAATACGGTTCCTCATGCAGGAGAAGGTCATCGAGGTCAGCCCATCGCTCGCTCCGCTGCTCTTTCATCAGCTTGTTTTCTCTCCATTAGCACAAGGTTTGTGTTTGTTTTATCTCATTCTGATTTTTTCCCTCAAAATTCTGATTTTTTTTCTCAGAATTGCGAGGGAAAATAAGTCAGAAATGTGAGATAATAAGTCACGATTACGTTTTTAAATTGTATTTATTTATGTTTCTGTGGCGGAAATACCTTTCTCAGCACTTTGGATAACGGTCTGGAAAGATTATCTTAAGGTTATGAATAAACATTATTCCAGTAGCGAAAACATAATTTATGCATCGCTCATAGAACGTCTTTTTCCTGGAACGTTTTAGCTGGACGTTCATGTAACGTGTTATAAACGTTACTGCTTGCATCAGAATGTTTAGAAAAAAATAAAAAAATTACAATGTTTGCACAATTATAAAATATAATGTTATCTTAACGTCCGAATAAACAAAAAAACGTTTTTAAAACCTGTAAAAATGTACGTTTTGAGCGTTAAGAGAACGTGCTCCTGCTCTTCTGTGATTGGCTGGTCACCAGCTGGCGGCAGTGTGACGTGTTCTGAACGCGACGTGGAGTCAGTCTGGAATAACAAACAAATCCAGCATTAAGACGCTTTTAACTAAAATACGGTTCCTCATGCAGGAGAAGGTCATCGAGGTCAGCCCATCGCTCGCTCCGCTGCTCTTTCATCAGCTTGTTTTCTCTCCATTAGCACAAGGTTTGTGTTTGTTTTAGGAAGTGATTGATCGCAGGCCTCATTGATCTGAGCTCAGTTTTTGAGTGAACATTGCCAAAATTATCTACAAATCATGCTTTCTTTGAGGTCATGAGCTCAGGTCAACGAGGCCTGCGATCAATCACTTCCTAAAAGAAGTATAAAACCTGTGCTAAATGAAAGAAAACAAGCTGACATCTATTAAATGTAAATTACAAATACGATTCTGAGTCTGTCAGTGTGACGATCAGAGACCACACAACCAGAGATTAGTTCACCAGTGGATAAAAACGCTTTATTAAACACAACTGCATGTGCAAGCATGGAAAGAAGCAGCGCTATAAAATGCCATTACACACGAAACATGCATTAAAAAGTCTGTCACATAATTTAAAAATGAGGTTCTGTGCAAAGGTGCAGCAGTCAGCGTCCCGTATATGCGCAGCAGTGGATTATTCATGCTGTGAGACGTGACCTGTTCAATACAACTCTCAGAAATCACACACACATGTACTAGAGTTGATGGTGTTGACTCTCGTCTAACAGACGTACACAGAACCTTCATGTAAACGCATCTGCGCGAGCATACACGGAGAACGAGTTCATAGTGGTTCTTAAAGTGACAGTTCACCCCAAAATCAGCATTCTGGCATCATTTACTCAAAGCTGTGCATTTCCTCCGTGAACATAAAAGACGACATCGGGACTGTATGGACAAAAAACACCGAGACATTTCTCTAAATATCTCCCCACAGTCAGTCATATGGGTTTGAATGAGGCGAGGGAGAGCACATGACAACAGACTGATGGTTTTTGGGTGCACTGTCGCTTTAAATCAAAGTGCTGGAGCTAGAGCAGCCGGTCATGTGCTCATACAGAACTCTTTTACTGCAGTAAAAGTGCAAATACTGCGTGTTTTTTGGCATCTGAAGTGGGAGTGAAAACACTGAAGCAACGAGACTCTAGCAGTCTCAATACATTCATCACCAAAACAGTCCAAATTAAAACAACACACATGAGAAGCATTCAACACACACTCAGATCCAATGATAAAAGGAGCTCGACGGATTCTGCATGTTCCTCCCAAACTTCATTTACTGGTGTCTCCAGTAAATGCATCTTGATTTAAGAATCTTTAGACATCTGCACTGTTGCAGTGTGATCAGAAGGTGCAGTTAAAGTATATTCTGTCAAAAATGAATTAAAAAGTAATGATGATCTGTTGGAAGTTGTATTTTTCAACTTTGAAGCATTGATGTAATTGATAATACAAGATGTGCTTTGAAAGGCAGGTTTAACAGTTTCATATTCAATGTGTTATCACAAAATACTACAAATAGAGTTTACATCGGGGTAAAAAAATCCATTTAAATTCACAGCAAAACGCCTCGACACGGCCTGTCGGCGCACGCGTGTTCGGTATCAATCCCATCATGCACCTGCAAAATTCAACACAGGATTTCACAGAAATTATAAAGTAGCAAGAAACAGAAAGTGCTTGGCGTTTGCCGTCCGTCACCGTACAGTTCTTCAGAGGAAATATGACCTGCTCTGTGTATATAGTGCCACTGAAAACACACGCGACCACACGAACGAACCGGAGGCAGCCAGTGACGTGTCCTCGTGCAGGCGTGACGTCACGCGTGTTTGCTGTAGCCGAACACACCGACGGGGAAGTGCTTGACGTGAGTCGGCCACTGCGCGGCCAGCTGGAAGAACTTCACATCGTTCCACTCCACGCCATCGATGGAGACTGAAACACAAACACACCGAGTCAAACCCATGAAAACGAAGCATGATATTATATTTGATCGTATTTTTCCATTGTTGTTTAATGATGTCGATACTGTAATTATTATTACTCTACACTACTGTGATCAGCTGAATGCGTCACCTCGGAGCATGGTGTGCTGGTGTTTGGCCGCGCAGATGAGCCGGCTGATGCCGTCGATCACCTGACTCTTAGAGTCCACCTCCCTCTCCTTCGGCTTCTTACTCAGAAAAATCACTGCAAGACACGCGAGACAACACTGACATCTGCAGCGCCGTCGCTGTATGTGAGCAGATTTATTATTAAAACTGACGCCATGAGAACGCCAGCTACAGGACCTGAGAGAAGCCCTGCCCTTATACACTGCTGCTGTGTGTGTTGTGCACCTTTCTTGTTCTTCTCTTTGGTGACGACGGTCATGGCCATGCTGTGAGGAGCGCTGGGGTCTCCTCCGCTGGGCAGACGGCTGACCTGCAGCGAGCGGAAGTTACTCTTCAGTGTGTTCTTCAGACCCACGTCACGCTTCTCACCCTCACGCTTCTTCTCTCCGCTCTGACACGTCCAGTAGTCCACCTGCAGCCCCATCAGCTCTCCACCTGTGCACGGAGAACTGCACACACACACACACACATGCAAAACACACACACGCAAAACACACACACACACACACACACACATGCAAACACACACACACACATGCAAACACACACACACACACACGCATGCAAACACACACACATGCATGCAAACACACACACACGCAAACACACACGCATGCAAACAAACACACACATACAAACACGCATGCAAACACACACACACATGCATGCAAACACACACACACGCAAACACACACACATACAAACATGCAAACACGCATGCAAACACACACACACGCATGCAAACACAAACACACACATACAAACATGCAAACATGCATGCAAACACACACACATGCACGCAAACACACACACACAGCCACACACGCACACACAAACACACACATACACACACATCAAGAACACACCACATTCAAACTCTGATCACTGCAATATGTTTGAGTTCTTATTATTTTTACAATGATTTGTAAACCAGTAAAACATGTACAGTATTTGCATTACAGTAAGAGATTTAGGGCTCAAATGAACCAGCAACAGTTCCAGAAACAGTCTGAAGAATATGAACAATCTTTACTGTATTTTCCGGAAAATAAGTCGCACCTGATCAGAAGATGCACCGGGTCGGAACTGCATTGTTGAGACATGAAGATATCATGGACAAGTTGCTTTTATTATTACGTTCAGAAATACTGATAAAACAACACATTTAAAATCATTATAAAACAATTTTTTTTTTTTACCAAAACCAAAATTAATGTTTTCAATTAGCCAAAAAACAACACTGAAAATAAAAGTTTACTTAATAATCAATTAATTAAAAAATGTCAGAATTTTATAATATATAAATGTTATAAATTACCACTCGGCTTTATATAAGGCAGTTCAAAGTAAATCCTTGTTGAAATATAAGTATTTGAATGGCAGTTGTAAAAAAAAAAAGCATGTTTTATTATTAGCAGATTTATTCATAAACATAAAATAATGAAGACAGCAGGTTAAGTAAGAATGTAATGAATATGTAATGTAGTGCATATGTTTTTTTAAAACGCACTCTAGATTTTTTTCTAGCAGTGGACAACATTCATTTTCAGCCGTATATTTTCGGTTGCTGAAATGACGGTACATCACTACTACAACAAATCCTTCACATTTATCGCTACTCACAACAGAAGAGGAATGACAAATATAAGTATAAAAAAGTGGCATTTGTTATAAACAACATTTATTATAAACGCCAAGCCCAAACTAATTTTCTGAGTTCCCACGGTGTGGGAAATAAGTACACTGTAAACAATGACCGTGAATTTAACGGTAAACGACTGTAAAAATGCTACAGTAAAAACCTGTTAAATGGTTAACGGTAAATTCCCCTACTATATACGGTGAAAAACTGTATTGGACATTACATGTAATTTTACGGTAGTATACCGTTTTGGAAGTGAAAAAGACAGAATTCCCAGAATTCCCTGCGTTACATTTCAAATTTGATGTTTTTTTGTTGAAATAACTGTTTCTTCTTAGTTTTTTCTTATCAGTTTTGTATGTTAGGGTTGTGTGTTACACCTAATGTTGTTAAATGAATGTTTATTGCATGATTTCAGTTTCATGTGTGTTACCATGATGGTGTTTAGTGTTTGTGTGAATGACACTGTGCACCTTCTATATATGTTATTATTTAAAAGCTGCTTGTGATGGGCTTTGGTTCATCATGTGACTTTCTCATCAGCACCTGCATTTGGTGGTTATCAGTGTATTACAAAGGTACAAAACAGATTTCAGTACTTCAATAGGTTGGTATATTAACATTATATCAGTTAATGAAATTACGGTATTTAACTGTAAATTTAAGTTAAAACCGTAAAACCTAAAATGTTGCTACCGTATATTTTACAGTAAAATTCCGGCAACCACAGCTGGCATTTTTTTACCGTCAATTTTACAGAATTTATTTTACAGTGTATGCTCATGTGCCTCTCTCATCCGACAGCAATACGAATGTGCGCTTTCAGCAGCTTTAGTGTGCTTCATAAGTCTCAGCACGTTTCATATGATGATTTATTTTCTGGAAAATACAGTATGTTGATTTACTACTGTAATGTGACCCAGATTCACTCAAACACACACACACACACACTCGTGTGATGATGTCATACCCCATGCCAGTGAAAACAGCACACACCGAGGGCGACGGGGGCGGAGTCACACACATCTCCTTCCCATAGGGCGTGGCCGACTGCGGCAAGGGTGAGGAAACCACACCCACATTCCCACCCATGGCATCATCAGAATCCACTGAGAACAGAGAGATGCCACATGAACACACACACACACACACACACAGTGCGCTGACCTACATATGAGCTGATGCACTACTGCGGGCGCAATGTGAACAGGACTGTAAAAGCCTCGTGCTGTAAAATCTATTTATGTGACCGACTGAAAGAGAGCGTGAAGCTCGCAGACGTGATCTCATTTCCTGAGCACCAGAAACCTGCGTGATGACGCTGTCAAACACCCAATCCCATCACTGGAGCTCACGCTTGCATCACAGACATCAGCTGTGCCGAATGAGGATCTGAACTCACCTGATGTGGACAGACTGTGTTCAACGATCCCCACCTTCACCACCTGACGGCACAAGAGCACATCCACCAGCACTCATGAGCATAGCGGTTAAAAATTCAATATCGTGTCAAATGTTCATTCATTCATTTCAGGGGTGACCAGCGTCGGTCCAGCAGAGTTCTGCTCCAGCCCTAATCAAACACACCTTAAGAAGCTAATCAAGGTCTAAGGGTGACTAGAAAGCACAGTCAAGGTTACGCAAAGCTCTGCAGGACCGACACTGACCCCCGCTGTGATAGCTCATCCAAACGTGATCATTGTGTCCTCGTTTACTTTACCGCACGACTGTCACAAAAGAAGATCTTCTGAGGACTGTCCCAGTGTTTTTGCTCATATAATAAAAGTCAATGGGGTCCAATGTTGGCTCGGTTCCCAAAATTCTTCAAAATTCATTTTCTTTGACAGAATGATGATGTTTGGATGAACTAATGCTTTAAATCTCCCATCAGCAGCAGTGTCAGTGGATCTGGACTCTCACCCCGATAAATGGCACAAATTTTTGGCACGAATCTTCATCCGGACTGCAGAGAGAGAGAGAGAGAGAGAGAGAGCAGGTGAGAGCGGCGCAGACAGACAGCTTCATGAAGCACACTGAACGACACTGGAGACCAAACACGTCTGATCGGAGGAATGGAGCTTCACACAACATCACCATGAGATGAAACAAAATCATCCGTGTGAATGAGTCTCTGACACTGATGAGCAGTGCAGCATGGGAAATACAGGCACTGCAGTGACTTTAATAGTGTGTGTGTGTGTGTGTGTCTGTGTGTGTGAG